TCGAACGTTCCACATGGGGAAGAAGGGCAGAATGGAGTTGCGGGCGGCGGCCAGGGCACGGCGGAGGTCGTCGAGGCGATGCCGCTGGCATAGATCGCCCCATGTAGCCCGCCTTGGGATGGGGCCGTTGTTCAGGAGAGACCACGGGGCGCTCGGGCATCGCACCGGGGGGAGGTCAGCTTCTGCTAGGGCTGCTCCGAGCGCGGCGCTCGCCACGCGCCACGCGCCGCTGCGCTTCCCGGGAACGGGGGAACCGAGCGGCGGGGGGCCCACCGCTGTTTGAACCAGGCGGGCCCCCCACTGGGAGTCTAGGGGTTTCCTGGCATATCACAGACCGGCCCTCGCAGGTCGCCGCGTCGAAGCATTTGCACCTCCACGTCGTCCCGGAATTGGGTTCTCATCGAGATGGCAAAGGGCTTCTTCCTGCGCGCCTCTGCGTGCAATCGGGCGAAGATTTCCGCGGGCTGTTGCGGGTTGGGGTGGGTCCTTCTGGGCGCCTCGCCTGTCCGGATCCATTCCTCTAGGAAAGTAATCTGCCGGTGTCGCAGGCATCGGGGATCGAAGCGCGCGCCGACGGCGTCGTGCAGCTGCCGCCCCTCCAGCCTGAGGGCAGCAAGGTATGCCTCCAATCCAATGACCCGGGCGCGCTCGTGCTCATTCGGTGGGCGCAGTCCATGTGCCCGCCCGCGTTGCATGGGCCATCTGCCCCACTCAGCCGCCGTGGCCTCGTTGGCCCTTGATTCCCTTTCCCTGCCTGCACATGCAAATTGGAAACCCGCCTGGACCCCTCTCCACTCATTCTCCCACGCGCCGAGGATGTTCCAGATGCATGTTTTGACTGACTCCAGGTTGCCCAGGAACCAGCGTTGCTCGTGATCCAGGTCACGCAGCAGGTGCCGTGTCCCCGTCTGGTACGTGCTGGGTAGAATCTCGTCTTGGTCTCCACGTGACCTTGTCCAGGTGGGGGCGATTCCGTCGTGTCGAAAGGCCCATCTGGGCTCCCAGGGTGGGACGATCCCTTGCGTGGCCCGCAGGTCCTCTGGCTGCGCTTGGGGGGAAGGCGCCAGCCAGGTGCGCTGCCGTGGTCCAGGTGCCCAGTCTGTGACGTTCATGATCTCCGCACTGCCTGGAGGTAGGTTGCCGAGTGCATCTCGCACGCTGTCGCGATGCGCCCCTCACATTGGGTGAACGCTTTCGCAGATGACGCGCACGTAGATGTCATCGCGTCGTCTGGCAGGGTAGCGCAATGCAAGAGGCACCGCAAAGACGTGCCACGATGCGCGCCCGGCCAGCCCATCCCATCCCCCATGGGGCCCGGCCCTGGCCAGGTTTTTGCACGGGCTGCCGGCCACCGCCATCGGTAGGCAGTGTGTGGGAAGCGAGTCGATAAAACCGCCCCACCGGGAGGTGCCTTCGGGTCCTTGCGTGAACAAATCCCACACGTCTTCCGATAGCCAGGTGTGCTCGGGTCCTTCGTCGCGGGCGCATCTCCCGCTCGGGGCGTGCCGGAGCTCTCGGACCCATGCTGCCAGGTCGCTGTCGATCTCTACGTATGCAGAGTTATGGAAGGCGCTGGTGGCCCGCAGCTGTGCGGCTAAATGTCCTCGCCGATGCAGTCAAAGAGCGATGCGAGGGCGAACTTGGGTGTCCCAGGTGGTGCCGTGCTCGTTAGAGGCGCCCGGGGAGCTGGGAGAGCGCGGCGGTGCGCCTGCACCCAGCGTATGCTGCCAGTCACGTCGTTTGGGGGCGCCATGGGTTGCACCCTGGCGATCACGCCTGCGCCCGCCAGTTCATCGACGAAACCGCACTCAATGGCGTCACTCAGGTTTTGGCCGCATTTTGGCGTCCCGGGAGGGCGGGGGGGGGGGGCTCCCCTGCTCTGATCGATCCCACCCAAGATTGCCCAAAGATGACCCCCAAGCCTCCCAAGGGTGCCCAGAGGTGGCCAGGGGGCCCCTGGAGGCCCCCCAAAGGCCCCCAGGATGCCCCCAGGTGGCTCCCAAGAGACCACCGAAAGGTCCCAAGAGGCCCACCAGAGGCACCCAAGACGCTCCAAGAGGCCTCGGCGAGAATGCCATAATCATTGGTTGTACTAAGGTTTCGGCCACATGTTGGCCTCCTGGGGGGGGGGCCGCAAGACGGCTCCAAGATGGCCCAAGAGGGCCCAAAAAGAGGCTCAAGACAGCCCCAACACGGCCCCAAGAGCGCCCAAAAGCGCTCCAAGAACGCCCCAATAGAGCCCCGAGAGGCGACGTTTTGGCCTCACGAAAGGCAGCGCTAATTAATGTTCCCCTATTGTTTGATCGATGTCCTCCAAGATGGCCCCAAGAGCGTTCCCAAGGCTCCCAAGAGCGCCCTATGAGCGCCCCAAGAGGCGCCCAGGAGGCCCCGGGAGGCCCCAACAGGCGCCCAAAAGGCCTCCAACAGGCTCCCAAGAGACCCCCAAGAGGCCCCAAGAAACTCTCCGAGGCACCCAAGACGCTCTACGAAGCGCCCAGGGCCGCCAAGAGGCCCCCGAGACGCTCCAAGAGGCCTCAACTGGGGGACCCTTCCTCTGAGTGCTGCCCACTTCCATGATCGAGATAAATTCCTCTGGGCGTCGTTTCTGGATGGGCTCGTGGGGCTACTTTTTCGTTGCCAGCCGCAGGCGAACGCGCCGACGGCGTGTCAAGGTCCGAGTGGCCAGTGGGGTTAGGCGAAGCGTCTAGAATTTATTGAAAACTGGGATGGTCGCGATCGGCCCGTGCTATTTGGGAGAATGGTTTCGCTTTGTTTGAACACGACAAATACGCATGACGTTCGCCACGATTCTGTCGTTCAAAAAATCGGCAAACGTGCCCGCGATGGTCTCTCTCGCTCCCGCCCTCTTTCAAAATTTCGGCCACCAGGCCATCTTCGCCGCAGACTTTGTCTTCACTTCGTCCGAGAAGTACACCACATCGCGTCGCCATGTAGTTCAGCTGCGGATATAGTTGTGCTTGGCCTGGCTGCCCTGGGCTCCTTCGGCGGAGCATTGTATAAAGACGTGTAGAATCAAGCGCAAATATCTGCACTGCCTGTCCTTATTGACCGTATTTGGCCGCTGGCATCTTGAATGCTAGCGATGCGGCTTCGTTTTGCTCGGCCGCCGTTGGAGTCCAGGCAACTTCTTGGCCGCACCTTTGACGATCAACTTGTCCAACTGTTCGTTGTGTTTCTGCCGCATCTGATTCCGGATGGCCCTGTTCAAATTGAGCGCGTTCTTCATCATTTCGTTTTCGGTGGCAGCCTTATTTCTGTCATCCTGGATTTGCTTAATGGTATGATCCGTCTCCTCGGTCCTTCTCTCGCTCCCTCGGTACTGCGCCGCACTCGGGTGCAGCTTGCAAAAACGCCTCCGCCACTGCTGCAACATCTTTTGGACTCCCGCACAACACCCTCGATTGAGCCAAATGGTGTGCCTACTTGCTGGTAATAATAATCCAACCTCTCCCCGTGTTCGCCAAATTCCATCGTTATTTTCCGTCTACTCCCAAACTTTGTCCATGTGACCCTGTGGTATGTCTTCAGCATCAAATCCATAATCACATCTAGATTGTGATATTCTGCCTCGCGGCGCCGACCTATCAATATCGATCTGTACAATGTTCCCTATACTCCATAATATGTGCATCCCTCTGTCTCCCAGCCGTTTTGGAAGCACTGTATTTATAATCGTGAATGCTTGAGTGGATGCCCGCGCCACGATCTGATACCATCTGCTTGTCCTTGCGCCCAGGGCAGACTTGCCAATGCAGTAGTGGTCGTCTCTGACGCTCTGCTGCTCAACCTCTGCATTCGCATCCACACCAATAATGCAATGCCTGCGTGTCCTGTTTGGGGGAAGTGCCTCCCGCTGATGTTCCAACGATGACTCGTACTCCATGTCTGAACGACCCGCGTTACAATTACCATTTCTTTGTATTCAGATCTGCGTATGCAGCTCTTCCGTCGCACACCACGAAGAAGCATGCAAAGTGTGCAAGCCATCTTCTGTGAATTCGAATGCCTATGCTTTCATCCCTTTTCCTCTGCGCTCCCACGCAAATAAAATGTCCCCCAATGATTTCGTCGACGCTGTCGATGTCGTTTCGTGGGCGCTCCTGCACCGACACAGCGTCCCAACAGATCACCGAATTGTTTACATCCGCCGAAAACTATTGCAAGAATCTTCGTTCATACCGTCAACGTTCCAAGATACAGCTCTGAATAGTGTACGTTGGTTCCGGCGGTTTTGGATAAGCATGCTCCGGCGGTTTTGGATAAGCATGCTCATCGCCAGAACTCCGCGATGATGGCATTGGAATATGATCTACTGTATTTGCGTGTGTACCTTTTTCCCGCCCCCGTACTTGTACTGGTACCTTGTATTCGGGCTCCCGCGTGCCCATCACCTCCTCCATGTACTGGTCACTCGGTGATATGCTCTCCACCTGATAAGGCGACGGTCGATTGCAATGCTGAAAGTGTCGATCGTGCTGTACCGTGCCAAGGGTTGTGGCGTGCTGTGCCGTCCTGACATGACATGTGTCATGACGCAATGACTTGCGCTGTGATCTATCGCGTTGTGGATCAAGCCGCCCTTGGACTTCGAATCCTTACTGAACCGACATGGATCTTAAATTCGAGCTGCCTGAACGCATAGCTGGCCCATAATTGGTTGCAGCCGGAATGCGTAGGACGCTCAATCCGCTCCAGCTCAAGACCGACTCAGTTCCGAAACGGGACGAGACGACGCGGGGCGCAGGGCGCAGCATGGCATTGCACGCTTGTCCACGATCAGCACGATACCATTGCGCGTGCGAATCCCATCCAACCTGCGTGACTGCTGGGATTCCTCTTGCAACTTGCCGGGGCCACGCGCGCATGCAATCAAACTTGCACGCTCGAGAAACAGGATGATGTCGACGAGGAGGAACAGAAGAACGGGTCTGGCCCGCAGCCATCCGCCATCCAGCCACCCGCGTCGGGGCGCTGCGGGCCTTCGAGTCCGGCGGACGTCAGGTCCATTACGGGCGGCGCCTTGGGGCGGGGGGGCGCGACCGGACCCGCGCGGAGCTGCTCTAAGGGGCACGCCGTGCCAGACCTCGGGACGGGGCGGGGGTGGGGTGTGGAATGGAAGGGGGATGAGGAAGGGGAGTGATGGAGGGGAAAGGGAGGCGAGGCGAGCGCGCGATGGGGTGAGCGGACGGGGGGGAGGGATCAACTGGTGAGGGGGATGGGGGGGAGCACCTGAGATGGGAAGATAATGGTATGGGACGTAAATTCGCCGTCTCAGCGGGCCAGAGGCGTGCTAAGATCTCCGGTTGCATGTGAATCGTATTTCTAGTTCGCACGCGCGTGGCGGCCCTTGGGGACCCCTGGACGAAAAGTGCCCCGGTCGATGCCTGGCCGACTCCCCCAATGCGCCCCAGGAGCGCGCCAATAGGGCGCCAGGGCGGAGGCCACGACTCGCCAAAATATCATTCCAATGCGCTCAAGATGGTCTCCAAATGACCCCAGAGGCCGCAAACAAAAACCAATGAGAGCCTCAAGAGGCTCTTCAAGAGGGCCCCAACAAGCAAAAATCGGCCCATTCCCTTCGTGAAACGCAAGATTTTGTCGCATGTGCGACGTTTGGGTGTTCACGACGTCCAGAACTGCCCCAGAGGCCTGAAACATCGTTCCCAAACCAAAACGGCCCAAGACGCGCCCAAGACGGTCCAAAATGGCCCCCAAACGGCCCCATGAGGAGCCCAAGGAAGGGACCAGGAACCGAAAAGTCCAGCCCCCAGCCCCAAGAGGCCCCCAGGAGGCCCCAAGAAACCTTCAAGAAGCCCCCATGGGCTCCCAAGAGGGACCCCAAGAAGCCCCAAGAGGCACCCGAAAGGCCCCAAGAGGCCCCAACACGGCTCCCAAGAAGCGTCGAAACTGCCTCCAGAGGCCACCGAGAGGCCAACCACGAGAGCCCAACCAACATCCATGATGCCTCAGACCCACCGCCAACCGCCCCCGAAAAAAGGCAACCGCCCAATGGCACCGCATTGACAACGACACCCCGACAAACGACAGCGGCGACATGGGCCGGCCGACTAAGCGAAGCGATTAAACACATAGAACATGAATAGGAGGAGGAGGAGGGGGAGGAGGGGGAGGAGGAGGAGGGGGAGGAGGAGGAGGAGGAGGAGGAGGAGGAGGAGGAGGAAGAGGAGGAGTCTCTAGGTTGGCCTTCAGCGCGGCGCAGCGCCCTGCTGCTCCTCGGGACCCCCATGGGTGGCGCGGCTGCCACTTCCGCTACCAGGAGGGCCCCACGCTCGGGCCCGCTGGCGCCGTCCGCGCGCCGCTCAGTCCACCGCCGATGGCGCTCTGGTGCCGCTCTCACGTTCCGCCAGGCCCGAACAACCACTCGTCTAGCGTTATCGGGACCCTGGCGGCTCTCGTCCTGCCGCGTCTGAATCTCTTCGCCAACCATTCCTCGTAGCGGGATTCGGCACTTTCCGCACTGTAGCTGATGGCGTTAGGTTTCACCTTCGCCGCCTCCTTCCTCGGCTGTCGTACCTTCTCGTGCGCTGCGCTGGGAGGTCCAGCGCCGCGGGTCGTGGCGGCTGCGGGCTTCGGCGCACCCCGCAGCCACACGTCGGCGATGACCCGCCGCGCGGCCCACATCGCCTTGCTCGTCCCTTCTGGGCTGGTCGCCCTCACTTCTGGCAGCCCCTGCTCAAACTCGCATGCCCTGATCCCCGCGCTGTAGCTGATGCTGTCGAGCTCAATCTTCGGCTTCCACTTCTCGTACTTCCCGTTGGGCTCAAGCTTCGCCTTCCCCTTCTCGCACGCTATGGCCCCAGCGCTGCAGCAAATGGTGTCGGGCTCAAGCTTCGCCTTCCGCTTCTCGCACGCGCTGCTCCCAGTGCTGTGACTAGCGGGATCGGGCTCCAGCTTCGCCTCTTCCCTCTCGCACGCCCTGATCCCAGCGCTGTAGCTGATGCTGTCGGACTCTCTTTCCGCCTTCCCCTTCTCGCTCTTCTCTCTGGGCTCAAGCTTCGCCTTCCCCTCACTGCACGCCGCCCTGATCCTAGCGCTGCAGCTGATGGTGTCGGGCTCTACCTTCGCTTTCCACTCCTCGCACGCGCTACTCCCAGTGCCGTGGCTAGCGGTGTCGGGCTCTATCTTCGCCTTTCACTTTCCAGACTTCTCTATGCGCTCCAGCTTCGCCTTCCCCTGCTCGCGCACCCTGGTCCCAGCGCCGTAGCTGATGGTGTCGGGCTCTATATTCGCCATCCACTTCTCGCACGCGCCGTTTCCAGTGCTTTGGCCAGCGGTGTCCAGATCCAGTTTCGCGTTCCCTTCTCAAACTCCCTGGTCCCAGCGCTGTAGCTGTTGATGTCGGGCTATGGTTTTGCCTTGCACGTCTGGCGCCGCTCGCTGGGCTCAAGCTTCGTCTTCTCCTTCTCGCACGCGCTCGTCCCAGCGCTGCAGCTCTTGGTGTTGGGCTATATCTTCGCCTTCCACTTCTCGCACGTGCTGCTCTCAGTGCTGTGGCTTGCGATGTCGCGATCAAATTTCGCCTTCCCCTTCTCGCACGCCCTGGTACTGATCCCTGCGCCGTAGCGGATGGCCTCGGGCTCTACCTTCGCCTCCCCCTGCACGCATGCCCACGGCTCCGACCACTGGGCTTCCAACCATGGCTGCATGTGCGCGCATAGGTCCCAGGCGGTAGGCCGTCCCGCCATAAGGCGCATTCTCCTTAGCGCGCGCCTCCTGCCCCAGTTCGCCGGGCCCGCACCAAGGTGCCTCTCCTCGCAATAGGGGGGCACACTCCAGTCGACTATGGCCATGGGGCCGCCGCGCCCGCGGCGCTAGGAGGAAAAGGAACACTTGGGATGTGGAGAAAGGAAGGTCATGCGGGAGAGGAAGGGGGGAGATGCGAGCCTCAATTAGTCTGGCTATGTTCTTGTCCCGCGCTGGGAAAGCACAGGGGGAATGTGGAGATCAACCTGGGGAGGTCCATGGGTAGATGCGAGTAAGGCAACCTCAATGAGGTGAGGGGAGCCAGGGCGCCCCTGGTCTTCGGATCCTTGGATGAGAAACAAATGCCCAAACACATTGATATTCATCGTCCTCCTTCTTCTCCCGTCGACCCTTACTGGTTGGTAAACAATTGGCAATGGACTTGCTTAATATGGAATTCGGTCAACGCTCTTTGTTTTTAAGGTATTCAAAAGAACCCTCCCACCAGAAGGGCGGGGCACAACACGAATACGAAACCTGCATAACTCATGTAGATTTCAGCCTGAGTGAGATCTGTGCAAGGTGGAGGCCTGCATAAGGGAAGGCTAAGCTCAATGGGCAGGGAGACAGGGAACCAACAATCTTCGGATCCCGCGGCCGCTCGAAGCGCCTGCGCGGATGTCACCGGCTCGCTCGACCCGAACAAGTCGAGGACCGGCGGGGCCTTCGGGCGACGACGACGACGCGATACAGTTTGGCCGCCCGCGGCCACCCGCACCCACAGACGTACCCGTAAACGCACGCGGGGAACACACTCTGGCCCGCCCGCGGGCGCCCGCACCTGGAGCTGCAACTGGGCCTCCCTCGGGAGATTGCAGCCGCAACGGGGAAACACGTGTTGGCACGCCCTAGGGCGCCTGGATCGGCATCCGCAGCCGCAACCAGGCAGCACAATTCGGCTATCCACAGGCCCCCCGCAGCTACAATTGCACCCTCAATCGCAGCATGGGCCGCCGACCCAAGTGCAATGGAGGAAGAAGATGAGTAAGCAGATAAAGGAGGTGAAGGAGCTGGGAGGGGAGGGCGAATCGGGAAAGAGAAAGGGGGGCGGAGAGGGACGAGGAGAAGACAAGGCCCGAAGACGGCTATCTTCTGGACTATGGGGAATCATTGGCTTCACCCTGAAGCTCTGTGAGCCTTTGTGGCACAAATGGGGCCGTCCAGAAGCCCGCCCAGGACGTCCTGGGGCGCTCTTACGCCATCATGAGGCCGTCCGCCTTAGGCCGTCTTGGATCCTGGATCCACCTTCGGGCTGCTGACTTGTGTCGGTCCCTCCAGACTGAGGCCTCCTCCGTTTGGGCGGCCTCTTGGCTAGTTCAGAGGATCAGCCTAACTCGTGGCTATCACCACCAACACCATCATCATGATCATCATCACCAGCATCATACTCATCATCAACAACAACAGCAACAGCATGCTAATCATCATTACCACCACCATCACCACCACGCGAACACTCACCATCACCATCATCACCATCATCGCCACACTCGTTTACGACCAAACCCATTGCACAACTACCGTCATCATCATGACTACCATGTTCATCATGCGCATCGTCATCGTCATCGCCATCATCATTATCATCAGCTTGAGAACCATAGTCATCCCCTTGAACAACATCATCATCAACAACAACAGCATCATCAACAGCATGATCACTGTCATCATCGCCATCATTATCATATTATGAGCATCTTCACCATCATCCTCATCCTCATCCTCATCTTCATCCTCATCCTCATCCTCATCACTGCCATCACCACCGTGATTGTCACCATCGTTACCACCATCACAAACATTTCTCCGTGCTGTCTCCCATTCCCGCTGTAAGCCGCCTCTGGACGTGACCAGTGGTGCTCTGCGTGAACACTGGATAACACCCGTTCTGCACTGCTCCCATTGACTTTCTATTGAGCTGTCGGGGCTTGACGGGGCTAAGAGCAAATTGGCCATGATGAACAACACAAAGATTAGAGCATGCTCGAATTGAGCTTCCCAAAGAGTCCCACGGCACGGGGTCGCCGGCCTCCGCTGTGTGGCTCCGTCCCGCATGCTGCTCAAGCTCAGGCAAGATGCCTGCCCCGCCCCGATCGCGGTAGCAGCAAATCACGAGGAGGACGAGGAGAACGAGATAGCGCGGAGGTGGAGCCAACCTCAAACAACATGTCGTGCTTCAAACCAGCCTTGACTCCAAATAGGAATGCATTGAGGGACTGAGGCATGATGACGATGGCCAAACATATATTGAGGACGGCGAAGGGTGCAGCGGCGAGCGTCGAGGAGAAACAAGTTTACTGGTAGACGTCTCTCTCTTTCCCCCGCCAGTCCCCCTCATCATGTTCATGCTCCTGATGTATCACTTCTTATGCGTATCTCATCTTTGACGCACCACTGGATGTATCGTTACGGCTGGCTGGGCGTTTTGCCTGAGGCTTCCCCACCGCTTTTGATAAACAATCTTGAAGTGTCAAGTTGCCACGCGGATGGAGGGTGGACCATTTTGGAAATGGGGCTTTCACCCCTGGAACCACGCACACTCGTCCTACATATCTGCAGCAGCTAAACGGTTGGCGGGCGAATCGTTGTCGAAATTGGCCCTCGCCTTGGCGTCGCGCACGCTCGCCCTACACATGCCCAACAGATGCGCGGATAAAGAGCGGGTCGTTTTCGAACATCGCTCGAGCCTTGCCGAACCTAGGTGCCGCGCAGACCCGTCTTACACATCCCCAGCGGTCGCACGGATGGAGGGCGTGTCGCTTTCGGAATGGGCTCTCGCCTTGGCATCGCGCGCGCTTGTCTGAAACAATTCCACCGGTCACACGGTGGAAAGGCGGGTCGTTTTCAAAATGGGGTTCTCGCCGTGGCACCGCACACACGCGTCTTGAATCAATTCCAACGAGCACGTGGGTGGAAAACGGGACGGTTTCAAGGGAAAACTCTCGCCTTAGAGCCGCACGCACTCGCCTCACATATTCCCAACCGGTGCGCAGAGGTTGGACGGGTCGTGTTCAAAATTGGTTCTTGCCTGACACGTTCTCGAACCATGACCCGGACTTTTAAGGGTGCATCAGTTGCACGCGTGGAGGGCGGCTACGTTCAAATTCTGGTTTCTCAATTACACGGGTGAAAAACAACCCTTTTTTCAAAACGAGACTCTCGCCTGAAACTGCGCTAGATTTCGTGACCAAAGGTCTTGAAATGTGCGGGAACTTCACGGATGGAAGGCGCTCAAAGCTGATGCTGTTCTCCGTCGTCCTCCGTTCCTCGTCGTCTCCGTCGTCCTCCTCTTCAATCGCGCCATCCAAAGCGAAATTGATCAACGTCGGAGTGGAGTCGAAGCCCCTTCCCTTTGATCCCTTCCCCGCGGGGAACGGGGGGGGTCCCGGGGGGTCCCAATTTGAAACTGGTCCGGAGGCCCAAGCAGATGCTTCGCCTAAAGCGAAGCATGCGCCCAACTCTACTGTGCCGTATCAGCGATAGTCCCAACAGCAGGAAGGAGCTGCGAGAGCGACGATTTATCCCAAGAGTAAGGATGATGCCTTTCTGTCGCGATGTATGGTAGCGCGCCTCAGAAAAACACAGTCAAATAGGTGGCCAATCATTGGGCCGAAATGGCCGCGGACAAACGCTCGATACATCTCGCCTGTGCCCTTCCTCCTTTAGAATCGGGGGGGAGAAAACGAATCGTGTCCGCCACAGGCCTGACTCATCAAAAAACAATAACTATATAGTACACAAAGTAGGCCGCAGCCAGCGAGTCTTTTGCCTGGATATTCAAAATCCCTGCGTGATGCTCTGTTGATGTCTCATGACCAATGGGCTCCGCCGATGACTTGGGGAAGGACAAATTCGCCGGCCCAACGGGCCAGGGCGTGCTAAGATCTCCGGTAACTGGTTAACAGTATTAACAGTATTTCTAGTTCGCGCGCGCGGGGCGGCCCCTGGGGGTCCCCCGGCGAAAAGTACCCCGACCAACGCCCGGTCGCCGCCCGACCGCCGCCCGACCGCCGCCCGACCAAGTCTACTCAGAG